GCAGCCCAGCAACACGATGAGCGAGATGCCCTCCTGGTGGAAGGAGCGCTGAGGCGCGTGCTCCAGGCAGGGGCACTGGAGGTGCGGAGCGCACTGGCACTCCGGGCAGTCAAGCGAGGGGCACACCCCGCAGGTCACTGCTGGCTCGCACGCGGGGCACTGCCGGGAGCCGCCACGCATGAGGGTAGTAGAGATCCCGCGAGCAAATTCGGTCCCTGCGCGGAGAAAGAACGCCTGCGTCGACGGTGCGTGACCAAAGAGCTTGAGCCGTAATAGGTACGGCAGAGAATACATGCCGCAAGCATAATGTCGTGGACACAACCATATATCCATACTCATGTTCCTCCTTATCCACTTCCTTTCTTCCTCATCCCCCTCGCGCCTGCAATGTCTCAGTCTCCTACCCCCAAGCCCACGAAGAGTTTCCCTGCTTCTCGTTGCCGCACCCTCTCCTCATCATTCTCGCTTTCCCCCTCCCCGCGACAAGCATCCCGCCTACCAGCTTCCCCGTTTCTGTCTTCCTTTGCCCCTCCCCCCCTCAAACGGGAGGCATTATGACGGGGCCGAGGAACACGCAAACAGATAGACACAAGTCCGAGGATTCCCTATCATACTTATTTGTTGTGGACGTTTCTTCCCCCCGTTCCTACATGTCTCCATTGATTTAGAATCGACGATTGTGTGCGTGTGTGTGTGTGTGTGTGTGTGTGTGTGTGCGTGCGTGCGTGCGTGCGTGCGTGCGTGCGTGCGTGCGTGCGTGCGTGCGTGCGTGCGTGCGTGCGTGCGTGCGTGCGTGCGTGCGTGCGTGCGTGCGTGCGTGCGTGCGTGCGTGCGTGCGTGCGTGCGTGCGTGCGTGCGTGCGTGCGTGCGTGCGTGCGTGCGTGCGTGCGTGCGTGCGTGCGTTCGTGCGCGCGCGCGCGTGCGTGCGTGCGTGCGTGCGTGCGTGCGTGCGCGTGTGCGTATGCGTGTGCGTGTGCGCTTGCGTGTGCGTGTGCGTGTGCGTGTGCGTGTGTGTGTGGGTGTGTGTCTTCCCTCCTGACCGCGGAAGGCATTCATCCTCCCCCTCAATCCACCTCCATCCTTCATCTTGCCCCCCCCTTCCTCCCCTCCGCGGGCCGGTCGTTTCGCTTGGGACCTCCTTACCACTTATGACCCTGAAGCTAAAACATTAGCAGAAGTTCCACAGATGGAAGGCGGGTGGTTTTCAAACTGTGGCTCTCGCCTACACGCTGCGCATAGTTGTTTTTAACATTCGTCAGAACTTCATTCGTTTCAGCAAATTGCAAGATTTCAACGGATTGAGGGGCTCTCGCCTTAGCGCCGCGCGCATTCTATTCAAACAACTGCAAGAGTTTCACGTAGTGAGGGCGGTTTCATTTGCGCTCGCCTTAGCGCCGCTTACACTATTTGTTAACGTTGCAAGGGTTTCACGGATGGAAGGCGGCTCCGTTTTCAAAATGTGGATCTCGCCTTATCGCCGCGTGCATTTGTTTTATGCGCAGACAGTTTCACGGGTTCCCATGATCAGCGTACCCGACGTCAAGAAGCAACAGTCAGGTTGATCCGTGGCGTTGGAGTCTCGAGAAGAATATGTTGGCATGTTTCAGGGTCTTCAAACAAGTGTCCTCCAACGAGGCAGTTCCATCAGTGGAAATGAACTTTCGCAGGGGCCTATGAAGAGGGAGTTTGGAGGGAGGGTTTATTTCTCCTCCTCGGCCTCCTCTTCCTCCTCCTCCTCCTCCTCGTCCTTCTCCTCGCCCTACCAGATTCTCTCTCCTCCTCCTCCTCCTCCTCCTCCTACTGCTCCTCCCTCCTCCGCCCTCCCCGATTTCCACCGCGAGCACATGCATCCTGTTGTCATGATCGGTATGCTCTGAGGGCTCGTGGGAAAACGTCACGAGAGCCCCCTGGGACACCATTTTAGGCCCTGGGGGTGGGTACACTGTGTGAGCTTGTTAATTGCCTTCTGTCCTGCACTCTGACTTGTGGGTGGGGGCTTGCAGGCTGCTTAAAATTTACGGAGGGTCCAGTCACATCAAGAACCACAGCGGCGACACCGCAGGACCCCATGGCAGACAGCCAGGTGGGATCGATGCGCAGACTGGACGGTCGGGCCCCCCTCCCGAGCAGCACCTCCGAAGCGGTCTGTTGCTGCTGCTGGCATTGCTGCCCCCCTTCCTGGACGCAGCGCTGCCTGGCCTCGCAGCTCTGGCAGGAGAGGCAGCGGGGTGGCAGCAGCTGGGCACGGGCGTTTGAACCACCTGTTGGCTCGGCATCTGTCGGACTTGCAGACGCACTCACTGCAACGGGCTCGGCCCCTTCAACAATGGAGCTGTGGGAGGTGCTTCTGGTGCTGCTAAGGATGTGGTTGCATGCGTTCTCCTTGAGCTCCAGATGTCTGGCTGTCTTGGCATCGGCTGGGAGTTCTAGTTCTGGGCAGTGCGTCCACCAGAAACAACACCTGCATGGCTCAAGGTATCCCCCGAATATGTTCGGCTAACACATCCACGACGAGAACAAGCTGAGATGATTCGCCGGGCAACTGGTACCGTTCGGCGGCTTCCCCAGCCAAACCATCGACAAAATCGTTGGCGTTGACTGCCCGCGCTAGGTACCTGTATCTGTCCTCGTCTGCGAGGTGAGACTTGACCTTGAACATTACCTGGCCAATCCGATCCTTGGAGACTGTCCAACATTACTGCAATAGTGAGCGAGTATACGTCTGCCTTATCGGTCACCTTTGCTGTGCCTTCAGGCGCAAAGAATCCGTGACCATTGGAGAACTGACCGCCAGAGCCGCCGACGGCTCCAGGCCGCCAGCCGCCGGTGGGTTCAGAAATACGCTCGTCCCTTGGATGATGGGGCGTTTGGGCAAGGTGCCCCCCGGTGTTTTCAGCGCCACCTCAGGCAGGATCCGTCGTAGCCAGTGACATAAAAGCTGCTCGCTCGCTTGCGCTATGTCAACGTGGTCCCGGATGGCCTGGCTGAGGGGGTGCCCAGCTTGATGCATGAGTGGGCGCCCCTAGAACTTCTGCCAATCAATGCGATCATGGTTTCCGCAATTCGGTCAGATCGCGTCGTCCTGCAAGCCGGCCTCGACTCGCCTCTGTGGGCTCGAAGCTGCGTTGCATACGCATGCCTTGAGCCTTGGCGAGATTCGGCTGCCCGTACAGCCTCCTCACCTGCCAAACGCTGCTGGTTATGTCTACGCCCTGCTGGGCACCCTTGAGTTTGGGTGCTGCGCGTTGCACTACAGACTTGCTGGCACAGGCAAACTTGAAACTGGTGCATGATGTACTCCTGGGAATGGTGCTGTTCGGGTCTGACATCGGACTCCTCTCCTGAAGGGCTGCTCCACGTCCATGGTCCTACGGGGTCCCACTCGAGGTCCAAGACCGCTGATGGCGCGCATGTGAATGAAGACCTCAATGCACCTGTGTTTCCTTGGGACGGCCCGCTACTGTTTCCCAAACTGCTCGGATGCCATCTCTCAAGTGTGCTTCACCGCTGACGACCTCGAACTACTGCTCGAGCATCCGTGTCGATGGCACCTGGCGGGAGCTGACCATGCCGCAGGTATGCGGTGGGACAACTACCTGGCTTGCTGACGCCACGGGCAGAACCTGTTGCCCTCCTGTGCTGACTAAGCTCGGTTGGGGCTACTCCGTAACCCTCGAATGCCCCAATGGAGCTGGGGTTGGGCCCCTGTCCTGAACGGCTTGTGAGCGCTTATGGTGACCTTGAAGAGCCTCCTGATGTTCTTGATTGAGCCTCGTAAAACCTGACCTCTGACGTGCGTTTCTGACCTTCGGGTGTATCCTCTTCCCCACGGTCGAGTCGAGACAAACGTCCCTCGCTCAGAGCTTGCTCTAGAATTGCCGAGCTGTGTTCATTCTCGGCGATCTGGTTCCTGACGTCACTGTTATCCGAAAGCACGGTGGACTTGGGTGAGAGCGGGCAGCCAGCCTCCTCGAGCCCCTCCTTGAAAAACAAACAGCGGGGGCACCCTTCCATCAGCGCGTTCTCTGAGCCTACCATCCTAACGTGCAAGTCGTCCACCACCATCCTGAGTGTGACTCTGGAGAGCAGGTGGTGCGCCTGATGCAACAGGTCGTGTAGCAGCACGCGCGTCCACGCGATGCTCTGGCCACGCCCCGCAAGAAGACGGACTTGCGGGTTCATGAGTTCGCCTGCGCCCATCACTGCGGTGAGGAAACGTACTACCATGTGCGTGACGTCGAGAAGAACCTTAAGGAATTCCAGCTGCTTTGCGTTGAATGCTAACTCCATGGTGAATATGGTCTCGTGCAGCTTATCCATGTCTACAACCCTCCCCACCATCCCCATCCAATACCAACAAAGAGCTCGGCCATACGACCGACACAAAAGACACCTAAACACTTTGACTGCTGCGTCTCAATACCCTGCTTTCGCCGTCCTACAAATTCCCATCTCGCCCCTCCTCAGGGGCATGGGCAGACTATACAGGGAAGAGGTGAGCGTGAGTGGCCGATCCAACGTAATAGCCTTCGGCTTGGACGCGGCCAATTTCCCCTACGCACTGGACGGGCATGGCCGCGTTCCGCCCGATGCAATTTACGATGTAGGGGAGCTGCTCTTGCCCCTCTTGGGGCAGGCGCTGGAAGTCACGCGCAGCCCACTGGACGATACCCGTGGCAGAACGTCCTGGAAAAATCTTGATGGCTCTGCTTACCCTTTCTGAACTCCAGTCCTCCTCCAAACCCCTTTCCTTCATAGCCTCCTCCATGATGTCCTGGATCCCGTCTCGGACATCGGGGTCTCCGCTTTCCTTCCTTGAGGGTCCCAATACTTGGCCCAGAACGGGGGGGTGCTCCCTCCCTCCTCCTCTTTCTCCTTTTCCTCCTCCCTTCCTCCCCTTCCTCCTTGTCCTCCTCCCCCTCCTCCTCCTCCTCATCGTCCTCCTCCCTCCGCCGCGACAAAAGCGCTGGCGCGAATTTGGGGCGGGGGGGAACCAGAGCCTCCCTGCCGAACAGGTCGCGCCTGGCGTTGTCCATCGCCCTCTGCACGACGCTCACCGCCTGCGGCCCCGCCGGGCCCCCATTATGGGGCGGCGCGAGGGGGGGGGCGGGAGCCTCTGAGAAAACTGAGGGTGGCTCTGAACTGGGTACGGAAAGCATGGGCATGCTAGGTTCGCGCGGCGACGGCGCAAGCGAAGGTTTGTGACACCGTGTCGATCGTTCAACCTTGAATCGATCGAGAAACCCCGATCGTCCAAAGTTGAATTCGGCTGGGTCTTGTGGCGTTGCCGTGTCCATCGGTGCGTCCGCGTCGTTTTATCATGCGGAGTTCAACCTTGCACGCTTTCGCCAGCGTCGCCCGCGAGCAATTGTCGCATGAACCTACTTGCCGCCCGCTGTGGGGCAGGCGCGCTCGTGTCTCAAGTGGACCACGACCGCAGAGACGCCGACAGCGAATCCTCTGCAGAATGCACAAGAATTGCGGCTGGACTGCGTACCCTTTGTTGTTGTACCCATGTCGGTCCCCGTGATATGAGAAGCATGGGGGCGTCTTAGACACTGTCCTGGCTTCCAAGCTCCTTAGAAACCTCCGGGCCTTTCTGAGAAGGCCTCTCCCGTCTGAGAAGCCCCGCCGCCTTCTGAGAGAGCCGCCTCCAATCAGTGCGGAGACAGACCGTGCAGTGATCTCAGATTCCCAGACCCACAGATCTCCGAGGATGTGACGTTTTCAATCCAGACGCTTGTCCTCAATCTCTCCTGGGCCCGTTATCCGACCCTGGCGGGGCCGGAGAAAACGGACCTGTACGAAAGCCTCCCATGGGGAAGGGGTCGGAAGTGCTGGGGCCACGGACTGAACAAACCAGGTCAGAGCATGTCTGGGAACGAATAACTACCATGAGGAAAACCGTCGGCGCACTGTCCGTGACCGCAGCATGTTGGGACTGTGGACGCCCCAATAACCCGAGACAACCTCGCAGAACGACCCCGATTACAAGAACGGTACGGTCGCCTCGAGTCCACTGACTCACCACGCTGTGTGATCACCGCACCGTCCGTCTGCGGGCACCCAATCTCAAAAACGAAACCAGGACTGGGGCAAAGTCGGACTGGGACATCCAGCTGGCCTGGACGATGTTGCTGATCGCCCCGCGGCCCCCGAACGCTCTGAGAGGGCGTTCCACGATCTGGAGCGATTTGCCCCGTTCTTGGGCCCGCACGACATCCTCCTCCAGATCCCCCCCCGCTGCAGCGAATGAGGCGAAGGAAGAGGAGTGACGCACTCGCTTGCAGAACAGAGGAGGGACGCGCTCGCTTGCAGAACAGCAAGAAACATGGGCACACGCGGCCGCCAACTGCTGTCCCTATCAAGCAGGCGCCAAGCGGCACTTAACCATCTCTTATTGGATTGTAACGTCTGCGCCGGCAACGACATAGATGGAGTCTCAAAACCACCGAAAACCGCTTGGGTGGCGGCCTCAACTTCTGGTGGTACCACCGCCTCCTCTCTCCCTCTCCGGCGGCACAGGCGATTGCGAGGCCAACACTAACGACTTGTCCACCGCCCATGGAGCCGATCTGCCAGGGCGCAGTCGGTACTGATACGTAAAATTTGTTTGGTTGGGGGGGCACCTTCGGCCTGACCGATTTCAAGGCTGCCCCCTTCCACCCTCGCCGCCAAAGCCGCGTTCAAGGCTGCGCCCCCTAGCTTCGCCGCCGCCTGCTACGTCCGCGTCCAAGGCCACTGGGCCCGAACACGTCCACGTCCGAAACCACCCGAGACCGAGAAATATCGTGTGACCCCCATCCCCACCGTGTGTTTTTTTTTGCTGGGGGGGAAGTGCCAAACGCACCCCAAGGGCGACGTAACCGCAGTCAAGTTTCGCTGCGGCCCCGATTCCAGCCACAGTGGGCGCCAAAACTGGTTGAAGTTACGCAGAAGCGCGGGGGAAACATATATCGGAGCTTCTTTCCTCCAACGCAGCTCGAACAGAAGGGCATGCGGGTATGTCTTGAATTGACGGCGTCCCGAAACACATAGGAACCCGAGCACGCCGCCTGGCCGAGCGGGGAGCGGTTGGCGGGGCCGCCCCTCCTCGGACACCCCTCGGGGTCACCGCTCCCTCCAGGGTTCTAGAAAAGAAAAGGTACACCCGCAACGCCTCGACGCAAGTCTCGGAGGTCTTCGAACGCGCCTGCAGCGCGGCAAAACAGTACACAGCTCAAGGCCCCCACTCGGACTGGCGCCCCCTGCTCGCGGGGCCCCAGAGGCTGGAAACGGGGGCTGGACGTCCACCAGGTGTACTTGACTGATGATGTGCAGAAGCGCCCCTGGTGCGTCCTGGGAAGTTGGGTGTGCCGATGTGCTAATGCGGCCAGCCGCCATAGCAAACATTGATATTTAATAGGGGCGGTCTGGTGAATATATATAACCTTGGCTGCGCCAAACAATATTAATATCACATCCCCACTGCATAATAATAATTACTTGCACGTGCACGAACTCATATTCCATTTGCGCACTCGCGAGATACTTAACTTTTATGTGCGCGTGGCACGAGCAAACAAGTGAATGCACCCCCCGATTTTTATATATATAGATAACCACATAGGAATAACATGTTGTTTTCACTCGGGCGGGCCATAGGTAAATGGAACGACTACCGCCGCTTAGCTAACATATAGCTGAAACGATATCAAGACAAATCGTGTGAGGGGTGTGCCAAAGTGAGGGAGAGGGTGGGCGCATACGTCCTGTCTTACTGGGGCCTTCAATGGACCTCCCTATGGGGCCACGCCGTCATTGCATTATGTTAATATTGTTTGCTTCTGGCTCGCATCTTCCGGTTTCACCGTTTCACCATATCCGATATGGAACTTTGTGGCCCGCTCTGGGCGAAATTGATATTGGCCGTGCGTCGACACGGCGTTGTGCTGAATGGGGAACCCTGCATCAACGATGTCAACGGCTTTGTCTCCGCTTTCAGCACCGACGTTGATGTAGGTTGTCTGGGCTGAAATAAGAACTAAGCCTTCTGGAAATATTCAAGCGCTACGCGCTTTACTTCACCTGGACGTGTTGCTTGTCTTGAGCGCTGCGCGCTTCTGCACCTCTTGAGCTATGCTATGATGCGCTGTGCTATGCAATGCTTTGCGGCTCACGTCATAACCAACCCGATTTTGTTTCCTCACCCCAAGGTTGGCTGGATGAGCATCCTGTCCAAAAACATGTTCTGCTTCGGGGGCGTTCACTCGGGCAGGGGAGAGCAACGTACGATTTCGACGTCATACCACTGATATTACAAGTAATTGGAATCAACATGTCTTCTCATCAATGGGTGTTTGTTCGTCCGCACCTCGTGTCAAAAATATCTGGTGCAGACCTTCCGGCTTCTGCGGGCGGTGGAGGTGAAGGTCAGGCTGTTGTTGCTGTGCCTTCGTCGCCTCAGATCTCCAAGATGACCATCATACCCTTCCGAGTGCGTAGGCAGCTGGGGGACTTAAAGAAGAAGTTCGACGCGGAGACCAAGAGGAGACAGCGGCTTGAGAGTAAGCTCAAGAAGGCGAATGCCAGAATCAATACGTTGGAGCAAGAGCGACGACAACAGTTGGTTCCAGCTCATAGCAACAACCAGTACTACGATAAAGTATCTGCGTGGCGCGGCATATGCGTTGGAATACGTAGGACCTTATGTAATGTAGCTGCGAGCCGAGTTGGTCTGAGCTGGGGTTTTGATATGCATCATTCGACTGTGTGCAGGTGGGAAGTCAAAGCGGGATCATGTTTGAAGGCCTCGTCTAAGCAATTCCATTTCAGCATGGAGAACGACTTGAAATATGACAAAGAAGCTATAGACATGTTCATGGATGATTCCAATGATGAGCTGGACACATGGTTTGTTTCGACAGGTTGGTCATTCCATCGTATCAGGTGCGATGCGACCAATTCGGCTGTATGGCAAAAAGTCAAACTACACGGCCTTGAGCTCCGCAGCATCTACGCGTTTACCAAGGAGAACTACGACATGAACGAACGGACCCAGTTTGCAGACCTTCTCATCATCCAGGACAGCAGTGCGGCCGGAATCAAGGCTCTCATTGATAAGCAGGTTCGATGGGTTGAAGGGTGGAGGGGTTGGAAGATTGGAGGGGGGAGGGGTCTGGAGGGGTTGAGGTGGAGGGGTCTGGGGGGGGGGAGGTGGGGGGCAGTGGAGTATTGGAGAGGATGGAGGTTGAGGCCTATGCCAAAGGGTTGGATTGGGGAGGAGGAGGAGGAGGAGGAGGAGGAGGAGGAGGAGGAGGAGGAGGAGGAGGAGGAGGGGGAGCAGGAGGAGGAGGAGGAGGAGAAGGAGGAGGAGGAGCACAAGAGGGTTGGTTGAGTGGTTGGAGGGTTGGTTGGTTGGTTGGTTGGCTGGATAATGCAGGGTTAGAGGGACTTTAGGGTCCCTAAAGTCCCTCTTACCGTGCATTATCCTAAAGTTTAGGGAGGGTTGCAATGGTAGGATGGAGGGCTCGGGCGTGTGGTCCAAGCAGGTCTCCGGGCTTGGCTGCCCCCTCTGGGACGATGCTGTCGAAGATGGTTCCATCAGGGCCTACGTCATGTGCACCGATGCTGGAGGTGACATTCGCGCGTCCAGGAAGCTTATCAGCGCTCAGATCGCCGATGTGGAGAACGCAATGCTTTTCGATATCGATTGCTTGATGCACCAGTACCATCTTTCAATCCACACATTATTGGTCGCTGCGGAACTTGTCCTAAGAGTCTTGCCAGCCAATGCTGATGGGAAGCGTGTGAAATATTTTACGTCCATCCAGAAGGTGATGAACTGTTGGCGCGACAACGCTGCAGCTGTGTATTGGACTTGGCAGTATGTTAACAAAGTTGAAGCTCACACGCATGCTAGGAATATGCCTCCACGCTGCATGCCATCGCGGTGGGGGAGTAAAGACGAATGTGAAAAGAAACTTTTGAATTTGCCGCGCGAGAACTTCATTAAGGTATTCGTGCATGTCGTTTCGAAGCAGGCCAAGCAAGCCATGAAGAAGGATGACGGTGATCTTGC